AATATATCCCCAGTAGCAAGTTTAACTCTACTAAGTGCTTGAACTTTTCCTTTGTCATCCTCCTTGGCTTGAGACACTGACATCTCTCTCTTTTTCTGTAGATGGACTGTAACAAAGCAGAGAAGTTTGATTTTGTAAGTTCCCTTGCTACTCAGCTCCTAGCTGCCTTTCACCATGTCATGCTGACCCCTCCAGCTGCCCCAAGTACTTGGCTCTAGACCCAGTATCATGTGCACCCATACTAGAAGGCTTATTTCCAGAGGAGTGGGCATCTGCTGCTTCAGGGAGGAAATCCTCTTGAAGTCCCTGTCCTCTCAGGCAAAGCTGGGATAAGGGCTGAGTGGTTCAGAAGAGCTGTTCAGCCTGGGATGTGTTTAGTAGGAGTTCTCGGTCAGGTGAGCCTCCCTTGCCCTTCTTTTCTTCCAGGTGTTGCAATATCTGAACAAAATGGCTGGAAATGAATTCATGGGTTTCAGCAATGCCACGTAAGGCCTTGTTCAGAACTATCTGAACACACTGGGTGGTGTGTGTACACATGGGATTGGGGGAGGGATGAGAGGATCTTAGGGAGGAATTCCATAGGAACTTTGGCCTCCTAGCTTCCTCTGAGCCCCTTCATTGACATTTGTTTACTTTGTGAAATAATTTGTTCAATTTCTAGTTAATATGTAAGGAGAGGTAGCACGATGGTTTGTGTCTAAGGCCTTGCCAAGACCTCAAAGCCAGAGTCTCACCAGTGTTCTTAAGACTAGATGAATAGACAGCTTTAGGGGTTGTTTTTTGTTTTTTTACAACAAAGCTATGCTGAGTATTTGCTTAGGTTCAGATATGTCCTCTAATATTACTGTGAAAAGTTATAAAGGCACTGATGTAGTTCTGTGTCTCTCAGGGAAGGCAATTTTTCCCCTTCTCCCCATACCTACCTCTCAAATATTAAGCACTAAATTGGGTGTTTGCTTCAGATTCCAGTCAGAGAAGGAAACAGGGGATCGGAATTATGCCATCGGCTATTATCTCAAGGAAAAGAAGGTAACTGGGAAGGCCAGTAGAGTTTCTGGGAATTCTGCTGCTGGTGGAAGGATAGTAGGGGTTGGGAAATTTGGCTGAGACCCTGGAGTGAGAAAGGGGCTTTCAATGGCCTGAAGAGAATGTTTTCCCTCTTCTTCCTTGCAGTGCTTTCCTAAGGGGGTGGACATGATGGCTGCCCTTGATCTCTACTTTCAGGTAAGCAAACCCTGAGGGCCAAGGAAACAGGACAGACTGCCTTCCTTCTCTTACTCACATGGGCACTCCTCACATGGTTCTGTCAGGAATATCAATCAATTTGTTGAAAGATCTAGATGCTAAGAACACTGCTCTACTCCCAAAAGCACCATGTTCACATCCACATTACATCTTCACTTCTCCCTTGTCTCCACAGCTGTGCTCCGTGGAGGTCACCTGTGAATCAGGCAGTGTCATGGCAGCCACCCTTGCCAATGGTGGGATCTGTCCCATCACAGGCGAGAGCGTTCTGAGTGCTGAAGCAGTGCGCAACACCCTCAGCCTCATGCATTCCTGTGGCATGTATGACTTCTCGGGCCAGTTTGCCTTCCATGTGAGTGTTTTGGGCCCTGCCATCTATCAGTGGTGAGCCCTGTGCCAAAACAGGACACTGGTCTCTGAAAATAGAGAGATGGAATTTTGTTCCTGCTTCTTATTCAGAAATCTCCAGCTAGGCTGTTAGGCTGAGAATCCTCACAGGATGTTGTCAGACACAGTTCCTCAAATACAAACACATGAAGGTGCACCTTCTGAATCACTCTTGTGCAACCCTTCCTATGGCTGTCTCTTCTGGGTCTCAGCTTCCGTGTCACTTCTCAGGAGAGGCCCTTTTTTTTTTTTTTCCTTCAGTGCTAGAGACTGAACCCAAGACCTCCCCCATGCAAGCAAGCTCTACCAGTGAACTACATCCCCAGCCAGGAGGCTTTTCTAACTTCCCTATCTCAGATGGGTCCACCTACACCACTGGTCACAGCACTTTCCTTTTCTTCTCAGTTTGTAGTAATTATTTATTGTTGCCTGTTTATTGCCTACCATCTACCACCAGAATGTGACTTTACCCTAGTTCTAGCTAGCAGAGTGCTAATATTTCAATTAACATTTCCTAACTTTATCAATGAATTAATTAAATAAATATTAAGTACATAGTAATTAATATTTTTTAATTAAACAATAAGTTTACTTAATGATAGCCACTTTAAGTAAATAAAGCAATTTTGAGCTCCTACCAAGCGCAAGGAATAAGAAAAGTCTGAAAGGTTGAGGTGGTTGTGGCTTTGCCCATGCAGTCACTTAGAATAGCCTACCTTGTTTGTTTTCCTAGATTTGGGGGACCCCAAGCTCATCCTCAGCTTCAAATTTGTTCCCCAGGTGGGCCTGCCAGCCAAATCAGCTGTGTCAGGAGCCATCCTCCTGGTGGTACCCAATGTCATGGGAATGATGTGTCTGTCACCTCCACTGGACAAGCTGGGGAACAGTCATAGAGGCATCAACTTTTGCCAGGTGAGTTATTCTGCACGTAGTACTTAATATATATATATATATATATATATATATATATATATATATATTTTTTTTTTTTTTTTTAAGAGAGAGGGAGAGGGAGAGAGACAGAGAGAATTTTTTAACTTTTTTTTTTTTTAGTTTTTGGCGGACACAACATCTTTGTTTGTATGTGGTGCTGAGGATCGAACCCAGGCCGCACGCATGCCAGGCGAGCGCGCTACTGCTTGAGCCACATCCCCAGCCCACTTAATATTTTTGAATTAAGCAATATGTTTATTTAGTGGTAGCTACTTTAAGTAAATAAAGCAATTTTGAGCTCCTACCAAGTGCAAGGAATAAGTAAACAATATCTTTGGCTTGCAATTCTAGAAGTTGGTGTCTCTCTTTAACTTCCACAACTATGACAACCTGAGGCACTGTGCTCGGAAATTAGACCCACGACGTGAAGGGGGAGAAGTTCGGGTAAGGAAAACCCCAGGTTCCTTATAAGATTATTTCAAAACAGACTATGATGTAATGCTTCATTGCCTAAGCATCCATGGAGGCCATCACAAGGCAGAACTAGGCAAGGGCAGAGTCAAAGCCACAATTAATCTCAGATGGCTATGATTTGCCTTCCAGAACAAGACTGTGGTAAATCTGTTGTTTGCTGCCTATAGTGGAGATGTCTCAGCTCTTCGAAGGTAATTTTACCATAATCAGATATTCACAGCAAAAATACTGCTGGTCAGAGATCTTATTAGGGGGCCACATAGCAAAACAGTTAAGTGCTTCAGCTTGAGGCCTAGAGTGAATAGATGCAGATTTAAGTGTTTTTTGTTGTTGTTGTTGTTGTTTTTTAAACAAAGTATCTACCACATAAGAACTTAATAAATGACAGTGTTATTAACTTGAGTGTTAAGGGCATAGTTAACTTGCCTCAGTGGATTACCAACATCAACAAACATGTACTACAAGTAGGCAGTAATGCTTTTGGAAGCATCACAATCTCATTTCTCTGAAGTGGGAATTATAGTCTCATCTAGAACAAATTATATAGCCTTCAGATTGTAGCATTAACTGTTTCACTTTTTCTGGAGCCCATCCAGTCTGACTCCACATTAGAAAGGACATTAGTGATTACAGACTGATCTGGGTAATCCTAGCCACTTTCTACTACCTCAGGTTTGCCTTGTCAGCCATGGATATGGAACAGAAAGACTATGACTCCCGCACAGCTCTACATGTTGCTGCAGCTGAAGGTATCTGAAGGATTTAAGTGGGTGGCAGAGCATAAGCCCCTTATTTTCTACTAAGATACCCTGTTTTATGTGTCTTCAAGGTTCCAGGGCCAACAACTAGTTCTGACAATTCAGCTGGCAGCCAAACTATTATTGGGTGTTTACAGGGAGCAAAATGGAAAGAGGCCTTTTCTCCTCTCAAAACAGTCTCTGGCTGCCAAGGGTCTGTACAAATGGGTTTAGGATCTGTAGCCTATCATTTTCCTTCTGCCCCTATTCCTAGGACACACAGAAGTTGTTAAATTTCTGATCGAGGCTTGCAAAGTGAACCCTTTTGTTAAGGATAGGTAAGAAAAATTAGGCTAAAAAGGGGGAGGGTTGGGGCTGGGTTGGGGCTCTGTGATAGAGCACTTGCCTAGCATGTGTGAGGCATTGGGTTTGATTCTCAGTACCACATATAAATAAATGAATAAAGGTCCATCACCAACTAAATACATATTAAAAAAAAAAAGTGTGCGGGGGGGCATGGAAGGGAGGGTGGCACAGCTTCTCCAACACTGCCCACTACCCACCATGCACAGATATACAACTACATCACTCTTCATGTCTCCTTTGCCTGATCTTGCTCATTGTTCCTCAGGTGGGGCAACATTCCCCTGGATGATGCTGTGCAATTCAACCACCTGGAGGTGGTCAAACTGCTTCAAGATTACCAAGACTCCTACACACTCTCTGAGACTCAGGCTGAAGCAGCAGCTGAGGCCCTGTCCAAAGAGAACTTAGAGAGCATGGTTTGAGAATAACAGATCATGGACAGTCCCTGCTCAAGAAAAAAGCATGTGCTGGCCACACACTTAATCCATAACTACCAAAAAAGTATTATGGAGAGTTTCTTCAGTGGGGACCAAGAAAGCCATTTGTGACATAGGCCAGTGCTTTCTATGAGAGTTAAAATACCCCTTTCCCCAAGGGATACCACTTGTAGAGCTATCCATGGACAGTTTGCATTATGGTCTAATGGCTTGGTCCACTCAAAACCATCACAGGTCTTCAGCCAAGTCCTCTCTTGAAGAAACCATACTTCGACGGAAGGACTCTAGCTACCATGCACATGTATAAATCAGAGTGAGAGAAAGAGGGAGCCTATGTACCCAGCTTTAGTAGTCTGGAGAGATCAGTCCCCCTTGGCCAGAACCTGCTGCTGCTACAGCAATTTTATAGACAGAGAAAGTATTTTGTGCTCAAATAAACTTTAATTACACAAATTACTTTTGTTAAACTCAGTCATTCTCTTTTTCCCTCAGGGTATTCCAGCTTTATCACCATCATAGAAGGTAGAATAAGATAGAACACAGGGTCAGACAGAGCCCAAACAATACACATTTCATGTACATATTCACTTACTTCACCCTCAACCCCAAGTACGGTTTTAGGATCAGTGTATTATGTTGCTAATGGGAATGAGTGTTTGAGTCTCAATAGACCCAAAAATGGACTATGCAAAACATTAGGTGCCTTCCTTCCTCTGGAGTTTTAACTGTGTCAGAAATGAAGATGGAACTTCTTAATAATAATATTTTTGACACTAATCCCCTAGATTTCTCCCTAGTTCTTTTCCCTTTGTCACAGTTATAACTGGCACAATGATTATGATGGATTGGCTGGGTACAGGAGGTGTACAAATGAAGTTAAATGGACTCAGGGTAAGGATAGCTGCCATCTGTGTGGAGCTGCGGGTCTTTGGCGCTGAGGTACTTGGGGGTTCTGTTTTCACTCTGACCCACTGAGTCAATAAAGACTGAGGGACCAGAGACCAGACTCTGTAGGTGCTGCAGAGGAAGGACCAAGTCACTGACTGCACCACTCCTCCAGCCAGAGGTAGAAAGGATTTACTCTGGAGAGATTTGATAGAAACCCCAAAACAAACAAATAACATACAGATAAAGGGAGAGAGAGGTAGCATAGTGAATAAATTCAACCAAGCTAAAAGACAAGACCCTAAGACTGAATAGTTTTGAGGTATGGGAGGCACAGCGACTAAAGGAACAAAGTATGGGAAACTATACCTGTGGTGCCCAGGAAACCCACGATAGTTTGAATGAAACCTTGACCGTATGCCTAGCTTTCATGGGGTAGGAAACAGAAAATGACTAAGATATTGCACAGAGGACCCAACAATGAATTGTGGGAGATAGAGGTCTTCATATACTTTCAGTTGGAAACTGGCCAAGAGTATGATTAGGGACTCTAATAATGGACATACTAGAGACCCTCTGGCACCTCAAGCCCAGAGTGGGTCAGCAGCTCTCCATCCCAAAGAGCAAAAGCAGGCACCACCGGACCCCGGAAATCTGTCTGTAGCGTGTGGACCACAGAGACCTTGTTCACATCCACCAGGCTCAGCTTCTTGGCCTCATAGTCCAACAGCAGCCCCACTTTCTCGGGTTGCCCAATACCCTCAATTGGGGCTTTCTCGTTGGCCAACATGGTGTGCCACTTGCGCTGAGCATAGGAGAACACCCAGGAACGATCATCAATACCGATGCAGCTATCCCGGGACATGTCCATGTCTGCCACTCCTATGCGGAATTGCTGGGAGCGCTTCACTGTCACCTCCCAGTAATGTCTGCCACTGGTGACCGCTGTGTCTGCCAGCACCACTGCCCACTCCCGGAAGCGCTCCACATTCAGGGCCACCTTGGTGGGTTCCAATCCTACCAAGCCATATTTGACACCTGTGTCACCTCTGAAGAGTGCCAGACTGCTGTGGGCAGTGTTTTCTTCCAGTTTGAAACTGATGCCTGCGGGCGGAGCAAAAAGACTGGATGATGACAGTGGTTAAAACCTTAGGGCTGGTGCTATATTCTGATCTGAAGCAGGCAACTCAGGAGATCACAAGGAAGCAAGGAAGAGTTGAAAGGCAAGCTGGAAGCCAGGAGAAGTTAAGCACGCCTGTAATACCAGCTAATCAGAAGGCTGAGACAGGAAGTCTGCAAGTTCTGAGCCAGCCTGGGCAACTTAGTGAAACTCTGTCTCATAAAATAAAAGGAGTTGTGGGGATATAGCCCAACAGTAGACGCCGGTGAGTTTAATCCCCAGCCCCACGAAAAAAAAGAAAAACAAGCTGGTAAGACTGGGGGTCATCATTTTAGTATAGACAGTCCCGAGAGCCGAAAAACTCGGACTGGGTCAGTAGATAGGGTCTGAGGGTTAGAATCGAAAAACCAAGGCAGAGGGGGAGGGGAGATGGCTAGACAGGGTTGAAGTTGTCTGAGCAGCTTCCGGGAATAACAGCCAGAAACTTTAGGAGGCAAACGTGAGTAAAAAGTAATAATCCTACCTCTCCGGGCTTCCCCTGCGGCAGCCCCACATCGTTTGGCTCCCCAGCTGTACAAGCGCCAAGAACGTGCAAAGTGCAGCGCCATCTTACGCCACAGAAACGCAGGGCACGTATCCCTGCTACCCTACATACCCCGCCATCTGCCGACCAATTCCCAGAGCATGTGATGCGCGAGGCGGCCGCGCAGCGTGATGACGTAAAGGAACAGACGCCCTGCGCGGAACCACCATTTCGGTGACTTCTCTCCAGTTCTGGTGCAGTTGATCGGTTTTTTCGTGGAGAAAAACGGCGCTCGTTTGAACTGAGTAAAACCTTTGGAGAGAAGGTGTAGCCAGATGCTTAGAAGCATGTATTTTAGAATTAAACTAATTTTATTCAACCCCCAGTTTCACTTTGGGCACATTTTTTTAACTTCTTAGCTTCCCAGAATCTTAGCAAAGCTGAAATAATGCAACCCATAAACCTTAAGTAGCACCATCCCCAGCACCGGAAAAATAAACAATTTAGAATACAGCTTGACAAATAAATGTTAAATACATAATACTGTACGGTGGGTTTGTATTTTCAAGGTTGAGAAGATTTTAAACTATTCAGTTTTCCCAGCATGACCAGAAGTATATTGGTTCAGGGTGGAGTAGGTATTAGGTAGGTGATTATGAACAGTCTACATTTAACATTTTGATCTGCTTGAGGTTCTGTGTTGCTGCTTTCTAAAGTGTTTCAATCCCTCTACTTCTCAAGGTTCTATTGGTCAACCTGATATGAACATCCCACCTCCCTCTTCCCACCCCTCAAAAAAATAACTTTAGATCTTTGAAAGACTAAAAAACTAACCAAACTACTCCCCTTCCCCAGTTTTAACCACCATTCTACTGGACGCAGTCCTAGTTCAGGTCATGTGTATCTTAGTTCAGGTCACTTGTATCCTTAATTTAAATTAGAGTTCTCTCTCCCCACCCCACCCCACCCCCCTTTTTTTTTGTACTGGGGATTGAACCCAGGGGGTGCTTAACCACTGAGCCACATCCCCAACCTATTTTTTATATTTTATTTAAAGGCAGGGTCTCACTAAGTTGTGTAGGGCCTTGCTAAATTGCTGAGGCTGGCTTTGAACTCAAATCCTCCCCCCTCAGCCTCCCTAGCCGCTGGTATTACAGGCCTGCGCCAAGGAGCTCTGCTCCATTGATCTATTTTTTATTTGGAGGTAGGGTCTGGGTAAATTGCTGAGGTGGGCCTGGAATTTGTAATCCCCTGTCTCAGCCTCCCCAGCTACTGGGATTAATAGACGTGTGGGACCCTGCCGGGCCTAGAGTTTTCTCATTATAATGTAGTTATGTACCTTCTAGTCTACTAGCTTCTCTCTGTCTGGTATTCCAAAATCCACACTATATTCAGAGTGCTATTTCTAAATCCCAAATCCCATCCTGCAGTTCCCCTATTTAAATACTTTGATGTGCCTGCAACAAATTCCCTTTCATGGTCATAAGACTTTTTACATGATATAACTGCTTTGTCCTACCTTCTTTGTGTATTTGTTCACTTTTTATTTATTTATTTATTTTTGCCCCAGTTCTGGAGGTGGAACCCCAGGTCTTGCACATGTTAGGCAGCACTCTACCACTTTGTGTTTGTTCTGTTTCATAAAACACAGTTCCTTCTTTCAAAGGCCTACAGTCTAACTGGGGATGGATGAGAATGTTGATTGTTGCAATTTGATGCAGAAAGTGCCATAATTAAATGATGACAAGATGCTCAGGAAACAAAAGAGAAACCTCTGAATGAGTATATGGGGGATTGTTCGGGAGAGTTTCCCAAAATCATAGCTATGGCTTGAAAGGCAGAAATAAGGAATGAAAGCTCCACCTGTTCAAAATCTCAGCTAACATATTCTTTCCAAGAAACATACTGTTGAGTATAGCCAATGTAGTCTTTTGTCACGTATTGGAGATAGATTCTCAAAACATCTACCTCATATTTATTTTCTGAGTTTCAGATCTGCACATTCAGTAGCCTATTGGACATGTATACCCGATATCCAGTCACCTCAACCTCCTCCATGCCATGACTCTGAATTACCAGTTGCCTGGAAACCTGGGAGACCTTGACTTTGTGTCTCTCATCTCATACTGTCATTGAGTCTCTATCACATTATTTTTTCCTGGACTACTGCATCAGTTTGCAAGGGAACATAGAAACAGGCAGCTACTATCTCAACCATTAGGCTATGAATTCTTCTGTTGCCTTCCCCCACCCTCACTCCCCCAGTACTGAGAATTGATCCCAGGGGCATTCTACCACCAAGCTATATCCCCATTCCTTTGAATTTTTTAGAAAATTTTAAGCAGAGTCTTGCTAAATTGCCCAGACTGGCCTAGAACTTGGAATCATCCTACTTGCACCTCCCAAGTAGCTGGGATTACAGGTGTGTGTGACCATACCTTTTAGGCTGTGAATTTTTAAGAATGGAAATTACATCTTTTGTTCTCGGAGCCTTAGGGCTTCAGCATTCCCCTTGGCACAGAATATATGCTCATTGTTTATGGATGAATAAATGACTACTAAGTATAAAGGGAGAGGGTTTTGTGTCCATATCTGAGGAGTGTAGTGACACATTATCTCCACCAGGGGACAGGCTGGCCCAGCCTTTTCAACCACTTCAATGACAGAAGAGGTTCATTTGTTGCCCTTCCCCTTCATCCCTCCCTCCACCCCACATCCATCACCCAACCACCCTCCACCCCTCACCCCCGCTTTGTTGTCTTATTTATTTATTTATGTACCAGGGATTGAACTCAGGGGCACTCCATCACTGAACCACACCCCCAGCCCTATTTTGTATTTTATTTAAAGACAGGGTCTCACTGAGTTGTATAGCGCCCTCTGCCGCTTGCTTTGAATCGCGATCCTCCTGTCTCAGCCTTCTGAGCCGCTGGGATTACAGGCATGCGCCATCACGCCCAGTTACATTTGTTGTCTTTTAAGCCTAGGAGAAAAAAAAAACGGTGGGAAGAGAAATGTCCTTCAGAAAAGTTCTGCTTTGTCTTTTTTTTTTTTTTTTTTTTTTTGCATTTGGGTACTAACAAGAGAGAGGTTACAGTATTCTTTCTGTAGTTTTTAGTTTTTCTTTCTGTGCCATCCTGGAGCTATTGCAGAAGCAATAGCTACACATCCCTCACATCATCACTTGAGACTCAGCTCCAGGTGGCTCATGCCTGTAATCCCAGCAACTCAGCAGAGGCTGAGGCAGGAGGATGCAAGTTCTAAGCAATTTAGCAAGACACTGTCTCAAACTAAAAAATAAAAAGGAATGCAGGGGCTGGAGTTGTGGCTCCATGGTAGAGCGCTTGCCTAGTATGTGTGAGGCACTGGATTCAATTCTCAGCACCACATATAAATAAATGAATAAAATAAAGGTCCATAAACGTCTAAAAAATTTTTTTAAAGGACTGGGATGCAGCTTAGGGATAAAGCACTCAGTACCCCTACCTCAAAAAAAGAAAAAAAAAAGGACATATTACTTTATTCCCTATTCAGGAAATTGCTTTACCTGTCATTATTTCATTTTTACTGACCATTTATCCAATAAACTTAGTCTCATCATTCAGATAATTTGCCTGCCTTGTTAACAAATAATTAATTCTTAACATTTCCATCCATCCCAATTAGGAAGTTATAGAACTACAGACAAAAGGGGAAGAACACTGGAGGTAGAAGGAACAGTTTAGGTTATAGTACTAGGTTATGGAATAGAATAGTGTTTGAGGAACCACAAGAAGCATAATATTACCAGAGTCTCCACAGTCGGGGGATGAAAAGGCAGTTGGAAAAGTTGAGGCTGGATTATGAAGGTCTGTGTATGATATGATGAGGAATTTAAACTTTCAGACATCTAAGAGCTGGTGAAGGGAACGCAAGGAAATGACAAATGCCAGGCCCTTATAAAAAGGAAATGCTGGCAACAACATGAAGAATGAATTGATGTAGATAAGAGTAGAAACAGACAAACAGTATGAGGCTACTAGAGTTTTCAGATGAGATATGCTATGGCCCAGTTATCTAAGAGGAAGAATTAGTAGAGCTTTAGTGACTGATTGGATGAGAGTGAGAGTTTCAGGAATGGGTCAAAGTTAATTCATAGGTTTCTGACATAATGTGGAATACAGAAGGAGAACCATGTTGAAATGGAAAAAAAAATAATTAGTTAAGCTTTGGATAGGCTGAATTTGAGGTGTTTTGGGGCAACCAAGCGAAAATGTTCTGTAGTTATATGGATATAAATTTCAAGAGAGGGGCAGATGTAGATGAGGTCATCCAAGGGAAGGTTACAGACTACAACAAGTAGGAGACAAACAGAAAGTGCAACCCTAGGAATACCAATACATGATATAGCACATATAAAGTACTTAGAGCAAGACCTGACCCATACTGAGCATTGATGTGCCTGGCTTGAGGCTGTATCCAACTCTCTAGAAAGGAAAGGAAGGAGGAGGGAAGAATAGAATGGACAACCCCTTGATTACTCTACTTCCCATACTGCCCCATTTCCAACATGTGGGGACCCTGACCTGATTCAAGAGCTAATTAGAGCTCTTAACTAAATGGGAGAGGGATGATGCACTCAGAGCTTGGTGATTGTTCTAGACTTTGCCAGGAGTCAGCAGTCAGCAAAGCATAACCAGAGAAAGAGAGAGAAGGGGGGGGGGGGCTCAGGAGCTAGCCAAAGGGGCTGCTGGGCTGGCTTGTGCTATGTTGGGGCCTTTGTCCTACTGAAAATGTCCACACAATGGAGCTGGGTTACATGCTGACCTGGCATTCTGAATATAGGGCTGGGATAGAGATTCTACATGGTGGAAGCAGAGATGAGTGGTCACCTGGTCCCTGAGGACCATATCATTATTCACAAATATGAAATCACTAGAGAGGATATTCAGTATATGATAATGAGAAATTATGTTTGTATGTGATTAATTCACAAATCGATTCATCTATACTTTATTTAAGGCTTCTATCAACGTATAGATTGCTTGGGCATATCTCATTTAATCCTCATACAACCCTGCAAGATCAGCTAAGTAGATATGGCCTCTGCCTTGACCCTGGGTGTCTCTGTTTGACAGAAGCAATCATCAGATCATGTCCTTTGCTCTTTGAGCCTGCA